TATAGAAGCTGCATTTTGCTCTGGGCATTTTTGTTGTAATTTTTGCTTTGATAAGTGCCATTCTTTCCTCTTAGGGAAATACCACAGATGTTGTTCAGCAGTATGAGCCTAGGTAAGATCTATTTGATGTGCTCAAAGTTACGCAACTTGTTGAGGCAGAATAAATGTCATAACTGCTATGTTGCCTTGTTTTTTTTTTTTTTTAATCCTATGGTCCTGGGAAACATGCACTCTGGATATGCTGATAGATTTTACGAGTTTTAGATCAAATGTACACACTTTTAAAAACTCTCGGTGAAATGATTAATTAACTTAGAGATGTGAATGGCAGATACTCAAATACTTGTATCATGCTGAAATGTTGGAAGGCACCCAAGGTTTCAGAGAGAAAAAAAGACAAAAATACAGGTATTGATCTGGAGGTGATTTTACAGCAGGAACACTGAGATACAGGGTGGGATTACCTGCCCCTGGCTGCTGAAAGACACCCTGGTGGTAATAGGGAATGAAGAACCCAACTGCATTCTCTTGTAAATTTTAGGATACAGTTTCTGCATGATATAAGAACTCAGTTACACTGTTGTATTCAGGGTGTCTTCTATTGAAAAAGAGTATCATTTTTTAAAAACTTGAAAATTTAGTCAGTCTTGAAAATTTTGTCAAAAGAGGATTCTCCGCCAATGTAATATGTTTTCGCTTTGGAAATTTCGCCAAACATGAAAATGGGTCTTTGGATAATTATGAAAAGTTATTCACCTGATATGACCATGTCAGATTAATGCATTTTGAAATATCAATTAATGTTTAAGTGAAAAAATTTTTCCTGTTTTTACTTAAAAGTGTTAAAGAGGAGTTGAATCAGGGGTGACTGGAGTTGAAACCCAGGTTGAAGTAGATAACATGTGTTAATCTGTAACAGGTGATACAGGTGTGTTGATTAATGAAGTCAGGATATAAGCCTACACGCAATTACCAGGGCTTTGTTGAAATGTTATGAAACTGAGCTCGTGTTTGAAATCTCACATTGCACGTTTGAAGTATATGATAGATACTGTGAATTCGGCAAGTTGCACACAAGTGATATACTGTAGTGGCTCAATCATTTCAACTGGGGAAAATTGTGAATTTTTCAGAAATTATAATTTCTTTTAGTAATAAATTCTTAAAATTAGAATATTCCTACTGAGTGCTAGCAACATAATTGAAAAATTATATTTCATACAGTAAAAGCACCAAATTTCTACATAGGAATGTATTTTGAATGATTCCAAATTTATGTATCTGAAAAATTGATATTTTTCCCCCCATTTGTAATGATTGAGCCATTATTGTATGTTACTGCAAGGAATGAGTGGATGCAGCATACAGTTTGATAACAAGTGATGACTTCAGTTTTTATGGATATTGAGAACAAAAGATCCAAACATGAAGGCATTTGCATTCCAGTGTGATACACATGCTTTCATGTGAGGAACACCTTGGCTGGATTGCTTATTCTTGTCTTACGTTCTCAATCTCATATAATGATTGGTTATTTTTGTGTTAATACAGTTTGTCTGATAAGGGGCTTTTTGAGGGCTGTTTTCATAGAGAGCTAATTCACTTGCTAAGTGAATGAAAATGAACAGGAAATTTAATTGAAAAATAGGAAAAAAACGACCCACTGTGCCTCTTTAATTGCCCATTGTTGAATCTTTAATCATTGCAATAGCTGGACACAAAAAATAAAGAAAGAAAAAATAGAAAAGGAATGCAAATTGCCCACTTCCTTGTTATATGTTTAAACCTGGCCTTCCAGCTATAAATATATATAATAGGGAGCAGCTGGGAAACGGGAAACATCTGTAGTTTGGTCCGCCTCCACCTAAACTTATATAGGTTCATATTCATTGGAGCAGACATTGCACTATGACTCTCCTAGTTCATTTTGTTTTTTATTGTTATAATTATTTTTTAATTGGGGGGGGGGGAGGGGGACTGTAACATTCCCTTTTAACATTCCATTAAATGGAAATATGTTCTACATACTTACGAGTTCAGTGCAGCTGAATTATCTTACAGTTTCTAAAACCTATCTATAGCAATGAGAAAATAAGTCTAGATTACATAATTTGTCTTTTTTTCCCCTAACCTACTCCTCATTGTATTACAAGTAAATGGAAAGTCTTAATTTGATACCAGAAGAGAGAGATATCAAAACCAAAGCTCAAAATTTGTCCTTCAAAGCAATTATCATTTGGAATTATGCAAACTGCAAAAACACTCCAAAACATAGCCTTAATTTAGAAGTGAGCAAAAATTTAATTCAAGGTCATACATATGGCAGATTGGCTAGTTTATATGTTGTCACAGTTGGCCATTTTGGTCATAAATTGATCTTAAAATGATGTATGGGACAGGCATATGGTCAGTAGATATTAGCCTCTGTCCTTTCTGTCTACAGCCCAATTTCAACACAGGGAAGTGAAACACATGGAAAAGGAACCACTGAAGAACCTGTTCTTGTGATGGCTTATTGTGTTTTGAAGGCACATAAAACCAATTGCTTTTTTTTAGTTTCGTGTAACTTGTCTTTGGATTTAAGCCAAGCTGATGGCCAGGGTTGAGGTATTGAAGTGATTTATGGTGCGGTTTAAGAACCATCAGCTGCTACTTGGTTTCTCTCACATTGAAGGCAATGTGATATGTATTCCAAGGGATGGTTGGGTGGAGCGATTGGCATTTCTCTTGGTGCCCTGTTTCTTTTTGTTTTTGTTTTGTGTGTGTGTTTTTTTTTTTACTTACCTTTCTATGTACACTGTCATTAGAGCAACAACTGATTTTTTCTTTTTTTCACTGTCCACTCTGGTTTTTGAATTTTCTCAAGTTTTTAATAAATTCTTCAATTATTTTGTAAACATATTTTTGATATATGGTTGCCCCTCCCCCCCCCCCACTATACCTCACTATCAGTTCACTTTTCTTTTTTTCTTTTTTTTTTCTATTGTCAGTCTATTTGGTGCGGTCTTAAGGGGGTTTAAATGGTTGGTTAATCTTTCAAGTTGGATAAATTTTTTTGTCTGACACAAGACCATGTTATGGTTATGGCATATAACTACAGTCATTTCCTGAGCATCTTAAATGGAAGTCCGCTGTATCATATGCCATTCCCTGGAGTCAATAATTTAGGTGTCTTTCCTTCCTTGGCCTACACAAGTAATGAACTGCTATATCGATTAATGGGATGTATGAGTAATTATGCAGTTGATTATAAAGGTTAGAGATTCCATTGTTATCAAGTCGAGCAATTAGTGGAGCACAGTAGCCTTTTTATTGCAAGGGTTTTTATCCCTGATCTTCACACATCATTTCCTTTTTTTTTTACGCCTACATATTTCCACTTTTACAGCTGCGTGCGTATGTTACATTTGATTTGTAACAATGCTAGTTTCTATCATTGTATCGCCAGGTGGCAGCCACTGGATTGGCGTTTTGACATTCCTCCACGTAGCAGGAACAAATTGCATCATCAGTATTTGTCCTTCAGGTTGCAGAAGTGAATGCAGGGCAAAGGCATGATGTCATTGTGTTTTGTTTGGCTTTTTGTTCCGTTTGTTTGGAATTGTTAGGCTGTTTGGTAAAAATAGAATCATGCACTTCAAGAACAACCGTATTCAGTTGGCAAAACCTGTATAACATGGGTTTCAAATGGATGTTTACTGTTTGAAGGACGATCCGAAGAAAACCTGATATTTTATCTCCTTTTGACAAAAAGAAAAACTGACAATAGAGGTGCAGATTATGAAAGCACCTTACTGAATACAGTGATCACATTACAGTGGTTCAATTGTTATGATACTTTAACAGTAGATTTGAGCTGCCTCTTTCTGTCTCAGACATACAGTTATAATTTCTTCAGGAAAAGAAGTTCTAAATGTTCTCTTCGCTGCTTATCTGTCTTGATGGTTTTTTAAATGAAGAGATTAAAGAATACACAGTAATATGCTTTTTGTCAGAACCCCTTAACATTGACAAAGTACCCAACAATGACAGTTCAGCAAAACTTGTGGTTAATATTTTAGAAGTGTGATGGATTAAACAGAAATGTACTTAAGATAATCTAGATTAATGAAATGTCAAAAAGAAAAAAATTCACATCATGAATCAGTTGGAGAAGGAGATGCTCATCTTCAATCAGGTAAAATTCGGGTTGACCAGACATGGTGGTATCTGCTCTAATATCTGCACAAAATTGTCCATCAAGTTGGTATTCAATTTGTATCATTTTCTTCAGGAGTCTTATTTTTAATCTCCAAAGTAAAATTTTTTTGCTCATGTTGTCTTTCTTCAAGAAAAAACAGCTTTTCTTTCCAGAAAATGTTTGTGTTTTGCTAAACAAAAATTATCAATTTCATCTTCAGCTCTGACTTTAAGCTAAAGCATATATGCAGCTCTAGTTCTGTCAGATAGTAACAAAGGAACTCTTATGTCTACTGCCTACTCTTAATGGAATAGAAGTGATACCAGCAGTTAACAAGACCAGAAGAAAAACAAACAGATTTTTATCTTGCTGTTGATGCATTTTGTTCCAAATGCAATGCTATAAGACACTTAAAAAAACAGATTTTCATCATGCTTTGGCACTTTGCCCAAAGTACTCGGTGTCAGTTTTACATTTTTTATTTTTGTTTACGCACTCAAAGCACTCTATCAAAACCCAGATCATTCTTTTTAATTTTCAGTTTTCTCTGACAGACATTCACTGCCATCTAGCGCCATGTGATCAAAAATGTGTTTAGCACTTAATTGTTTAGGTGTTTTAAATATTATGCATATGCGTTAAGTCATAAAACATTTTATCAACCATAAAAAAACTCACAATTTGTTTCAGCTTACAATACAATACAATAATAATAATAATAATAATTTGTACACTTCTGCAAATATATAAGCATTTAAAACATTGCATTCAACCACTTAAAACTTGGTAAGTATTGAGTTTTTAATTGAATATGCCTCACCTTGCACTTCCCCTTGCTTCATCTGACAAATTTTTTATTGCTTCGTCAAAGGGCATTCCACACACCACAGTGAACAACAGCAGTAGTGACGTAATCCACATCAGAATGGTTTTTCTTGAATGATACATTGTTTCTTGTGTAGACACTGTATCAGTCACTCGTCAAAATGATGATGATGATTTGTTTGACTGTTTGCTTGTGGAATTAAATAATGTATAATCTGCTTTTGAATTGCTTCTCAATGAAATTGCGTGTGCCACTTCTGATTTGCAATGCTCGGATAACTGAGAAAAGTTTAACAGCTGGATTGCCACAGATGTGAACTTGTATTATCAGTTCTTTTCTTCCTCGGTGATAATTAAGTAAAAGTACCTCTCTCTGGAAGCTGCTTTCAGAATTGCCTTCTTGCTTTTGCACCAAAACACTGGTAACAGTCAGCACAAGTGAATGCCTGCGTACAGACACTTTTCCTGTTTATATAACGGAGACAGGGAAAGAGGCGTGCAGGTAATTAACTGCCCATCCAATCAGAGGCCAGACTCCCCGTTAATCCGCCTTCAAGTGCAGGTGGCCAGTGCTGAAGCAATTTGATTGGTGAATATTTTTATGAATGAAAAGACGGAAGTCAGTGCCTAGTGTGTTTACACACATGCCAGTGTGTGAGATGACCCCTGCTGAATTGGAAAACAGGGAGCAGGGGAGGTGGTGAATTTGTCTGTTAGAGTACAGCCACTGCTAAGGATATGAAACAGTGTAGTGAAGGGAAGGTAGCTTTGTTCAAATGAATTTAAAGTGATACAGGGATTGTAAGGATGCATGTATATTGGTTTAGTCTACAACGATAATGGCAGGAACTTGGGGCTGGAGAAAAAGAGAGGGGAGGGTGAGGAGAGAGAGAGAGAGAGAGAGAGAGAGAGAGAGATTGTATTGATTTTCTTATTTTATGGAACATAACATTGCAATGAAACAGAAGCAATGAAACAGGAGAAAATGTAGCATATCTTTTCGATATGTATAGACTCAGAACAATCCGGACCATTTTAGGTCAGTTATGCAGACAAGAGGGGTTAATGGCCAGAACTGGGTAGGAGACTTTCTGAAATTTTGAAAAAAAAATTGAGTGGGAAAGAGATAATGTAGGCACTTCAGGGAGATTTGTAAGTTCTGAGGGATACAGGGATGATATTTTCCCACTGTTGGCAGATTTCAGATTTTTATTTGGCAAAAAAAAAAAAAAAAAAAAAAAAAAAAAAAATCATCTGGAGAAAAAATGACGTGGCCATTATGGAAAAGTTTGAAAATGTTTCCATTATCATTTAAACTAACTATTTTATATGTCCCCCTCCACCCCAGCATGATTCACTGTGAGCCTTTTTTTACTTCCTTTTTTTCTTTAGACAAATGTTATTATAGAAAAAATGTGACCTGTTAGGGGTACGACTGGTATATTTTTAGCCTTACAGTAGGCGTTTTTACTCTGTGTTTTCTTTGGTAATTCACTGGAACATTTATAAGAAGGGAAGGGCTTTAGATAGAAACAAAGGTGGAACCGTAACTTACTTTTCAGTGAAGCCAATTTGAATTTCATTCCACACAGATTTATCGTCAAAAAGATTGTTTTAGATTTTACAGCTTCTGCTTTTGTTCAGATATGATCTGCAGTAGGAGACTCCATTCTTTTTTAAGTTTGGTTGACAAGAAAAAAAACTTTGATAAAGTACATTGGGGTGAAAGTTCATTTAATTGACACTTGCCAGGTCCCTGTTTCAAAAGAAAAAATCGGTCAAGGACATACCCTCGTAGCGTAGCTTAACCAACTCAGAATTTTACACCAAATTGCATTGCAGTATTGTGAGGTTTCTGGTCTTACATCTAACACCCGACCTGAATTTGCTAGTTGTCGGCATGGAGTTATAAAAACCGTTGTTGAAGAATTGAAGAAAATAGAAATGTAGAAGAATTAAGATGCAATTTATACTTCATGGAAATGCTGAAAGATTTATAGAACCATGGCTTGTAACATGTATCAATTTATATATATCCTGTTTAGAGTTAATAATAGGACTCTCATGTATTAACAGCTGGAAAAGAAGAAAAATGATGTCTAAATTTGAGGAGTAAATGGACCAATACAAAGAGCAAAAGTTAGAAGCAATGGAAAGAAATCTTCAATTAATAGTTTCTGTGTCCATCTGTTAAGGAGTTAGAAGAGGAACAAAATAATTAGACAAATTTATCTACAAGTAATGCGAAACAAACGTGTTCTGACTTAAATCTCTGAGAACAAAAATAGAAAATTGATAAGAATAGGCACCTAATTTATTTGTAAGTAATCATGCAGTTGATAAGCAGGGAATAGATGGACACTGAATGTCTATAATGAATGGATGGAAGTGTTATTCTGGGAAGTTTATGCCATCATTAATCTGAAAGCTATGGTCATCAATTGGATCTAATCACCTTGCAGTTGGGTGATTTATTTCTGGGTAGTGAAGCAAATTACTGGAGAGTGACGCAGAGTGGAGATGTTATAGCCATGTTTTCCATTTCTGACAAAGATGTGGTTAATCATGGGTGACAGGTAGGAGTGGACTGTTGGAGCTGAGGGAAATGATCCATAGTAATATTAGTATAGTCCAATATCTGCCATGGTTCAATGATGCAGACAGTAAAACCATTGGATGGGGGTGGGTGGGGGGCAGCAGTTCAGGCATCTTTCTTTATGTAATAATAGTGAAAAAAAATTACAAAAAGAAAATATTTAGAATTAAGATATAAAGCATTGGCCACTTACCATCTTTAATGGATTGTATGATGCATGAGAAGCACCCTATATACTAGTGTGTGTGTGTGTGTGTGTGTGTGTGTGTGTGTGTGTGGTCTCTCCACTCCCTATGCAGGCTATATAAGCAAGCAAAAAATGTTCAGCATTTTTCCGAAAAAAAAAAAATCACTGTTTTAGTTGATAATCAGTGATTCAGTTGATTAACACTTATTAGGGTCTCAATTGAAGGGGTGTTGGCTTTGCCAGAAAGGAACCTAATTGTTTTAAATGTGAAAGTTGGAGTATTGTTTTTCTTTTCAGTGAACTTGTCAAAATTTTATCAATGTCGCTGTCAGTTATGTAACATGGCATCATACATTTTGTCATTGTTATTCTTGGCTGTTTAGGTGCTGTAAGTAGAAACATTTCTTGTTTGTTTGTTTTGATAGTTACTGATTGTTTTAATTTTTGGCTCCATGAATGTCTGACTTTGTTAGTTTTGGCTCTGTTAGAACATTTTATCATCATGCTGTCAATTGTGGCTTTTTTATGAATCTTTTTACACCATACACATTTTTTGTTCTTAGCTTAGAAGTTAAGTTCAGGCCACGATCGAAAAAGAACTTCATTAAATTTTGTCAAAACCTGTAACCCCATTCCCATAGACACCATCGGTCCACATGGTTCAACCCAACTCTGGGGGGGCTCTTGCTGAGTGCAATCAACAGAATGACAAACAACTTCTTGTTTCCAACATACACAAATATTGACCAGTTTTACATATTCTACTTACCTTTAGCTGATTGCACACAGCAAAAGTCCTTGCAGAGTTGGGTCGATCCACATAGATCAATGGTGGTTATGGGAATGGAGTCTATACTGAATAAGAATAAGCAAATATAATCATTGTTGCAATTTTGAAGCAGCTCATTTGTGGCTGTTTTAGATGTTTCAGTTATAAACTTGGGTCCTAACCCCAATACCTAAGTTATTTGAATAAAGTTCACTTCGCAGTTTAAGGCAGTATGTCAGCTAAGCGGCAGTTGACTATTGGATTAGACATTGTACTAGTGACAAGATAATTTGACTTTGATTCAGATAAGTGTTCTTTACACGTTGTATAGAGAGAGAGAGAGAGAGAATTGAAGCAGGATAGAAATAATGAGCAGAAATCAGAAGCAGACAAGAAATTAATGACTCCATTTATCTCTGTTAGGGAGAATATTTGCTGTAATGAATCTTTTCGTTGACTGATCAATACAATAATATACAACAACTTTTTCATCAGAAGTTGTATATCCTGTATTTTCCCAGATGGTGGTTAGGTAATCTAGAAGTGAAATTAAAGAAGTGGAGAGTTTTAACAAATTGTTTGAATTTGCAGACTGAGCAAGGCCTTATAAAAATAAAGACATTGCCACAATTTTAACCAAAAATAGATGTTATTCAAATTGACTACAGTCACAGAACACATTCAGATTCATACTTTGTTCTAGCTAGGTTGGTCCAAATTGGTGGGAGATTTTTGCTAAAGTGCAATCAGTGGAATAAGCTTGTCTGACATGCTACCTTGAGCAGCTAAGGGGTAATTCACTATTTTGTTCTAATTAAGCTGATTCCATTGGTTGCACTTTACACCCCATTTCCATAGATTAGATCGACCTACTTTAGATCGACCTAACTCCCTGGGGGGTTCACGCTAAATAGCTGTCAGCCGGGCGGACACGAAAGTTAATTACCCCCTTACAGCTTGTAGTAGGCGGGACGGACATTTAAATCGGATTAACTGAAAGTAATCTAGTGAGACTCCCCGCGGGGATAGATCGATCTAAAATCTATGGGAATAGAGCCTTAGTGAGAAGCCTCCACAGAGTTTGACCGTCCCAGCTAGGATGAATCTGAATGCGCCCATAGATTATGTGAGATTTATAGATAGGGGCCATTCAGAGGCACAGTTATTTAAATCTCGGCTCCATTCGACCATACGCGTGGGGAGGCGTGTGAGAGGTGGAGAGACCATTACAGGATTAAGCGGTCTTCCTTTCATGTAGGTCCGCCATATCTAGGCCGTGGACCTGTTGGCACTCGGTTCTTCTCATTCTGAATNTTAAGCTGATTCCATTGGTTGCACTTTACACCCCATTTCCATAGATTAGATCGACCTACTTTAGATCGACCTAACTCCCTGGGGGTTCACGCTAAATAGCTGTCAGCCGGGCGGACACGAAAGTTAATTACCCCCTTACAGCTTGTAGTAGGCGGGACGGACATTTAAATCGGATTAACTGAAAGTAATCTAGTGAGACTCCCCGCGGGGATAGATCGATCTAAAATCTATGGGAATAGAGCCTTAGTGAGAAGCCTCCACAGAGTTTGACCGTCCCAGCTAGGATGAATCTGAATGCGCCCATAGATTATGTGAGATTTATAGATAGGGGCCATTCAGAGGCACAGTTATTTAAATCTCGGCTCCATTCGACCATACGCGTGGGGAGGCGTGTGAGAGGTGGAGAGACCATTACAGGATTAAGCGGTCTTCCTTTCATGTAGGTCCGCCATATCTAGGCCGTGGACCTGTTGGCACTCGGTTCTTCTCATTCTGAATGGCCCCTTAGAGAATGAACCACCAGGGTCTTTTTTTTTTTCAGCCTTAGGTCAAACTCTTATTTTTCACCAAGGTGACAATTGTCTATTTAGGTGTATCCATCAAGATC